AAAAAAAAAAAAAAGATCCAACACGGCGCCGCGCCGCACAGCAAACAAACAAACAAGCAGCGATCGCCGCCGGCACAGGAACGGGAACCAGATCTCCACCAGCAACCGTCCGCGTTAGGCAGGCATGAATATTGGCAATTGCCGATTGACGGGGTAGATTGGTGCAGAATATTGGCCGCCGCTGACTTGGTGGCCAAGGCATGAATGAAGCATGAATGAAGAAGACTCAAGAGACATGCTATTATTGACCGAGCCGGGAAATACGTGGTGGTATTGACCGAGCCGGCTCCGGGAGGAACCTTAGGGGGGCATACGACCAGATGGGACAGGGCTGGGCTGTCTGCCTGCTTTGCCTTGTTAAGGCTGCTATAGCAGGGCCCGGGGGACTATACCTGTGGCGCAATACTCCTGACCCCTTCCTATTATTGTAGCACTGGTAGGACGGCCCTTTTCTTTTCTTTTCTTTTCTTTTCTGGTGTGTGGTTGTCTACGTACATACGATACCATTGTAGGGGCGTGCGGTGGCGCACAAAGTGCGAGTGCTGATCGTGGCGTAGGTTGTGATGGACCGATGGTTATTTCTGTTCTTAATCTTCTTGTTCTTGTTGCTGTGCTTGTTTGTATTTTATCTTCATTTTCATTCCATAATGTTCTAATTTCTTAAATTCCTTTATATATTTATGTGTCCTTAGTGGCGGGTTGGATGTGGCAAAGCAAAGTAGGCAAACAAGGCAGAATAAGAGCTCAGGGCACCACAGAGCTTGATGATGTTATGCTGACTTTAGCTTTGGCTCTGGGACTGGCTCCGCGATTGGCTCATTAGCGATGCTTGCTTGATGATGGACGGCAATTTTTTCTTTTTCTTTCTTTTTTGTGGAGGGACGTCTTTCATCAATCATCAGGGACTTGGGGGGTGGTAGGGACCGCTTGGAGGCGGTGCTTGTGCTTGTGCTTGACCGGTTGCTTGCTTGCTTGATTGCTGCTGTTGTGAGTGTGAGAGAAAGAAAGAGAGAGGGCTGGGCATGATGTGATGCGAGACATGGCTGTGTGTCATGATGGGTCTTTCGTGGAAAGAAAGCTTGGTGCGGCTGGCTTGGCTTGTCTGGTGTCTGGTATGTATGGAGAGACGAGACGGGGGTCATATTGATTGGTGGGTTGGTTGGTTGGGGCACGGGGTGGTCTGTCTCTTTTCTTTCCCTCTTTTCGTCTTTTTTTTT